AGCAGGCGTCGCAGGGCCGGGCCCCGCCGCGCATAAGTGCGCAGCAGCCGCGCCCGCCCGCCTGCCGCCATCGTTTCAAACGCGCTCTCGCGACACCCGCCCGTCAAGTCTCGCCCGCGGCTTCCGGGGAGGTGAGTCGCTCCGCGCTGCGTCATAAACATGCGCCGGATGTCGGCGCTGAGGCGAGCCACGTGCCCGCGGCGCTGTCACTAACCCGACCTGCTTCCCTCTCTCCCTAGCTGGGCACCGAGTGCAGGCACCTCTCGGGCTGGGCGCCGCCTCCGCCGGGCCGTCCCCGCGCCGCAGGAGCGCAGGTGAGCGTCTGAGCCGGACCCCTGCTCCGTGCTGCGCGTGTTGCTCGTCGCGCCATAACTGTACGCCCAGCCCCTGGCGCGAAGTCGCACCTGCACCACACACGTAGCCTGGCCACCCGCGCACAGTAGCGGTTGCAGGATTAATGCAATGAATCCGAGCCAAATTAACGACCGCTGGTGAGTCGCGTCATAAGTGCAGGCCGCCCGCCCGTGCAATATAGCCATCGTGCAGTTTGCTGATGAGTCGTGCCGTGCAAAGTAACGACCGCAGGACTCGCCAGCGAATCGTGCAATGAATGTAGACGGGCAGCCGGTGCAAAGTAACGATCGCACGATTCGCTGACGAGCCGCAAAGTTGGTGTAGTGCGAAGTAACGATTGCACCGCGCTACACCGGAAACGTAGACTGGCTGCCGGGGCAGGGCGAGCGATCGCGCGACTCGCCAGTGGATCGTGCAATACGTGTAGACCGACTGGTGCAAAGTAGTGTGCACGCAACTAACTGATGAATCGCACAATAACCGTAGGCTGGCCGCACCCACAAAGTAGGTATCACGCCATGAAAGCGACTGTCGAACTGTAGAAAGAGCCGTTCTTGAAAAGGTGCAGCAACTCGAGCTGGTTTCTATCCTGCTTTCGCTTGCAGGGCTGGCAGGGCCCGAGGACCCGGGGTTTGTGTGTTAGGGCCCTGCTACCCCTTCAAATGAAGGTGGGGTAGAAACCAGCTCTAGACTTGCTACACCTTTTCAAGCACTAATTTTGTAGCTGGTTGGCTCTTTATATAACTGGAGGCTCATTTTTTGTCTTGTGATAATTGTGTTGTGGTGTGGTTGGCTTGAACTTATTGTGCGGTTAACCAAATAATTGTGTGACCCTTACTTTGGAGGTGTGGCCGGTGTAAATTTCTCGTGCGATTCACTAGTTAATTGCACAACACACCTAATGTGTAGCAGGGGCCTTACTGATGACTGGCTCTAAGTCTGTCGGGGTCCTTGGGATGTGGCCCTTTAGTTTTCTCAGTAGGGGTAGCGACAGCCTCCGAGGGGCTGTGCGAAGGGCGGCTGTCTTGCACGCATCTCTGCAGGGGCATTAACTGTACACGGCTAATACAGTTCATCGTGGGCAGTCTTGAGAAACAGACAAGTGTTGCAGCTGTGGTGCGTGCAAAGCAGGCCTCTCGTGTGACTGTTTCACACTGTGGGTTTCACAGAGAAGCAACGTGAAAGGTTTAAATTTACTTCCATGCAAATTGAAATAGTGAAACCTCTGCATATGTTAAAGATCTGTTCCACTCCATGTATTTCTCAGCTGACACCTTCTTTCTTTTCCAGGTCAGTGAGGAAGTGAAGTATCAGTGTGTGCACTGTGTTTTCACAGCAGACAGAGAGACTATTACTGTGATCGCTGAACTGCCATTAACTGATTCCCACAAGGTATGCGCTGCCTGTGCTTCAATAGCTTTGGTGGCTAAACTTTGCTTTCTTAGGGTTTGGACGAGAGATTTCATAAGCATCTCTGAAGAGATTGTATCCTTCCACACAGGAGGGTATTTCCTGATTGCAGGATAAGCGTGGGGTTTTTATTGTGTTTCCAGTTTCAGGAGTGACTCGGCTCCTAAGAGCTCCAGAAAACAGTAGCTTATGGAGTGCTTGTCTGTGCTGCATTGATTTGTGTAGGCATTATCTCGCTGCGTGAGTTGTATGCCCTTGTGAGACGGAAGGGTTTCAGCTGGGCTGGAATGCTTCCTTAGACCACATAGATAGAGCTGCAAGTTCTGGGCACGTTGGCTGCAAGCAGAGTCTGGGGTCTGGGTCAGGCAGGGCTCCTGTGGAGGCTGGAACACGTACCAGCACGTTAGGGTACAGAAAGAGCCAACTGATGCAGCAGAGATCTCCATCTGGAAAAGCACTATGTTTGTGTAAGAGGTTAGGAGGGGTCACTTTGTATTCATATGACCCGCATGGTAGCTTTTTCTCATAAAACCTGGCAGGATCTAAATTGTATTGCTTTATCTTTTTCTCCCCTCCCCTATAGTTCTTGAAAGCCAGAACTGACCTGCTGGTCACTGGAGAAATCACCTTTGACAGACGGTGGTATGTGGGCCTGAAAGAAGAGAACCACAAAGCAGAGGTATCCAAGCTCTATGTAGGCAGCTGAGACCCTTTCTCAGGATAGCAGTGAAGAGGAGAATGCAGCTCGTTGTGCTGAACTTCTAAAACTGTGTGATTTAGTAGGGCCAAATCCCTTACCCACTGAACTTAACCTCGGGAGCTTTGCCACTGAATTCAGTGGAACAGGGATCTGGATCACAGCGAGGACAAAGGAGAAGGGAGGCGTGTGCACTAGTGCACAGTGGGGTGTTGTCTGCCTGGTGCAGTGTCTCCCGGATTTGCAGTCGTGCAGAGAACACCGTCTCTCCAAAAGAAACTAGGTGTAAATGACAGTAGAAAGGGCAGCCCTAAAGAGGCCTCAGGAACAGCAGACAAGTGTAGGCTCCTCCCAAGAAGACTGAGGAAATGCATCCAAATGAAGGAAGCAGCCTTTCCCTCTTGGAGGAGGAGCAGCACTCAAGTTCCCTGCTGCTCACCTTTGTGAATCCAGTTTGGTAAATATGAGGGGAGAAATGTACCACTACTGCTCTAGGTAATGGTGCATCATTCTGTCAACAAAATCGTGGGGTGGGAAGGCACTTCGGGGATCATCTAGTCCGCCCCCTTGCACAGATGTACTATTCCTGCAAGTGCCCCTGCTGTAGTGCAGGCTCCCCGTTAGGACTGACTTTGATAACACATTGCAAACAAGGTCTTGTCACCACTAGGACTTCAGCATGTGTTGGTTAATGTGTTAACCATGCGCCTTCCTTCCTAGTGCAGATGAGATATACGTTGTCATGGTTATTATTAAGGGATGTTGATGCAATTGCTGTTCCCAGAGATTTCTTAAGCAAAATGAATACGTTTTCTTAACTTGCTTTTCTAGCCTTTTATGACTTCCTTGTGTTGTTGGCAGCTGCTCTGCATGCTGCTGCTTCTTCAGCCTCTCTTCTCAAGTCCACACTGTCTTCAGCCTTGTCCAGTCTAGTATTTGAAGGTTGGGTATTAGATGGAGTAACAAAGTTATCTTGAATTCACATCTCCTGAAACTAGATATCTTATCACATGCTAAATCTCTGTCTCATTCTAGATCACTCTTGTCTTCTTGAAAGAGCAGAAACTCCAGATCTTACCTATTGTCATCGGAAGCACCATTGGTGGATTTCTCTTGTTGGCTTTCATTATTGTTATCCTTTGCAAGGTAAATATTCCCATTGCTGTGTCTTCACCAAAGCTTAGCACAGTCCTTGTTCCTCTTGTGATTTCAGCAATGCAGCAACGCAACCATGACTGCTCAGTTGCATTTAAGCAGGACATGGAGTGCATGACCTTTGGGGCTCTTCCTTCCATCTTTTCCAGAAAAAGAATCGATAAGTGTTTAAGGGTTCCTTGCGTCTGAACTGGTTTTAAACAAACAAACAACAAGTCCGGGAGCTGGGTTCACACTTAGTGTCAGGTCCTGGCCAAATTCTGATTTGAACAGCTACGTTCAACCTCTTAATTTCTTTCATCGTTTCATCTAGATACAATATTCCTCTTTACTTCCCGTCTTCAGTGACAGCCGTGTTCCAGTCTAGGTTTTGGCTGCATTTTAATATAGCAGGGAGGTGGTTCCTTGTCTACCTGAGTGTATCTGTTTGAAGTGTTTCAGCCTGTAAGGCGCTCTAGGCACCATGAGCATCATAATTGAGTTATCTGAGGCCATTACCCCTTCTTTAAGTTTTCATAGACTTTGTTGTAACTTTAATTGAGTGAGAGAAACTCAGAATTTAGTTCATGGCAAAGCTGTGTCTATATAAGCATATGCAAACAACTTTTCTGAGACCCTAGGACTATTTTTTAATCCTCTTCTTGCTCTTTGTTTTTTTTAGTGTGGCTTTTTCAAAAGAAAGGATCCAACTCAAATGAAGGAAGACATGCTTTCTGAGGACAAGGCTGACTAGAGCAGGATCTGTGATGGAGTCTCATGCTCTTTGCAAAAGCTACCATGTCACAGCCTATCCAGAAGTGAAGGGATTCAGTTTCTGTGAGCTGGGATGGGATGGTCAAGGCCCTGAACCTTACGACTGCCACTCTTTGCTCTGTGTTTAGAGACTTTGCACTTCTGGGAAATGCGGCCACCTGCCTGTGCAGCTACCGTGGATTGGGTGGCTCCTTGCAGAAGCTGGACTTCCCTAGGCTGATAAAGAACAGACTCCTTATTTCAGATTCTGCCTGTGTGCAGCTAGCTATGCTGTTGAAAATGCATTTCAGAGCTTGCTGAATTTGTCCATTTTTGTTGCTTTCTTTGCTATTTCAATACTGAGCTGCTTTGAAACGGGCTTTAATGGTAGGTAATTCCAAAGGTGGGGGGTGTATGTAGCAACAGATGAGTGGAAGCTCACTGCCAAGGTGCTGTGATGAGCGATTCGAGGTCAGAAGAGGCTCGGGACTGGAAATACGATAAGTCTTGAGGCATCGTGAGTCTGAATGGTAAGACGTCGGGACTGAACTGTGCAGGGTTGCAGCAGGTCACGACTGTGGCGTATCAGGCGGCAGAGTGGAGGCCCACGAATAGAACAGCAGTGTGCTGCGCACCATGGGAACGGCAATTCGCAGTGTGTGGTAAGAGTGTGTGGTCAGTGTGCATAATAGCTGCTTGACCTGGGGTTGGCTCTAGGCCAGACTCTGGACATCTTTTCTGAGTACTGACATTCCCTCTAACCCCCCACCTCAACTTTTACTTTTTTTAAAGAATGAGCATAAATACCTTTAAATATTTCCGCCTTTGGCTGTGGCGGTCCCTAGCTGTGGTGTTTGTTTTATTTCTGTCACATTTGCTTACTCTAAAACCACACGAAACCGAATGTGTGTTTGCGTGTAACGTACAGAATAAACGTGAGACCTTCATTGTAACAGGAGGAGGGCAGACTGCTCCCAGTGTAGCTACAGTTCGTGAAAAACAAAAGTAGCTCAGCTGCCGTGTGGCCTGGGCTGAGGTTCCTTCAATGCTCCTGTGTGGCATCAGGTGGGAAGGCAGAAGGGAATGCATCTTTCTAAAAGTTGTACATGGGGCTGTGCTGGCCTTGGGTTCAGCGTCCAGGTCTGCTAAGGTGCCAGCAAGAGCAGCCCCCACCCTCCCGACAGGTAACTCACAAACAGCAGTGGAATTGGTTGGTAGGAGACGGCACATCTGTTCCTTCCAGGCTAGATTTCAAGTGGGAATTGTGCAGCCCCGGTCCTTGGATGCAGAGGAGTTTCAGGACGTCTGTGGTTGGGGCCAGAGCTGGCAGTCCAGGCAGCTCATCCTGACTTGCTTGGGAGGGAGTAAAAGCCCCCATTGAACCGCCTTCAGGAACAGAGAGGCTGTTTGTTTCTTGCTGGTTTCCGTGCGTTCGAGCTGTGGCTGGCTGTCACGGCCCAGAGCTGGCTGAGTCCCTCTCTGTCTGTCCCACAGGGTTCGGGTTCATGCCTTTGTCTCCCAGCGTGGAGTGATCGCTTACCCGTGCAGTGATCAATCTCATACGGCTCGAGCGTGCCTGTTCCACCCCACCAGCACCCTGGGCCGTCAGCAGCAGGAGGCGCTGTTGTACAGCATCTGTTCCCAGATGTTACGGTTTTCTAGGTTTAATCCAGACTACAGCCATCACTATATACACGTGGACATCTGGAGTCTGAATTAAAATTGGCTCCAGTCCGAATTAACTAATCCGCGCTGAATGAGGGTTAAAGTTAATGCAGACTATAGCAGTCTGAACTAGGCAGTTTAAACTCTGTTAATTGATGTTTTCATTTGGCAGGTATTTAGGGCTTGAAGTTACCCGTTCCCACTGCCAGGTGTAGCAAGTGAGTGCAGTTTTGTGGCTCTGAAGTGCAGAAATGCTGGAAAACCTCCTCCCCCCTGATGGTCAGTGATCATCTATTAACCTTTAATTTGAATTGTGCGATTTGAATCAGTTAACATGGTTTAGAAAACGGTGAGCACATCTACAAATGGCCTTAGAGACCTGCTGTTGCTCCTGAATCCAGACTTGTAGTGTGCTGCAGTGCTGCCCAGCTAGGCCAGCTGCTTCCACCCCAGCCCTCTCGGCTGCGGGAAGCAGGAGGTGCTCAGCACGTCGGAGACCGGCCTCCTGCAGCAACACTGAAAACAAACAGAACGTGGCCACGGCAAACCAGCACTGGACTGGAGTAACACCAGTGGGGAGTGAAGTCGGGCACAGTGGTGGGTGCATGCGGGGGGTGCTGATTTATCCAGGAGGCTGGCAGGTGCCCCCCTCTGAGGGAACTGGTCGCTGCGAAACGGGAGCAGCTGTCAGCGCCCAGAGGGAGGGTACCGGGTTTGAAGATAAGTGCAATGGCTGCATCAGTCAGATCGCAGCTTGGGCACTAGTACCACAAGCTGTTTGTGCAGCCTCCTGGCCCCAGCAGGCAAGGCACTTGCTTGCTGCTAGTCTGTCCCAGGTGCCAAGCATTGAGATAATGAGGCTTGTGAAGGGAAGGCTCTGGGACCTGAGGTCTGTGTAAACCGGGGAGCCGTCCCGCCTCAGGTCTTCACAGCTGGGTCGGCATGCTTGGAAAGGCCCAGCTGGGTCGGCATGCTTGGAAAGGTGGGCCTTTGTTAAGCGCAACAGCATTTGCTTTCCCACCTTGTATTTAAAAAAAACCCCCCACCAAACAACCCAGTGTCCTGTTGTTTTTGGGAGTTGCCTCACTGCAGCTTCTGGACAGTCCCAGGGGTGAGCCCTGCATGCGTGTGACCTCGCTGCCTGCTCACGCCGGGACCGGAGTTCCTGGCTCTGCTTGAACGTGGGGTTCAGGAGCTGCTCCCCACCCCTGGAGCTGGGGGTTAGCAGAGTTTCATAGAGTTGGAACCAAGCGGCTGCCTCGGGGAAAGCGGGAATCTGCAAATGCGAGGGGCTGGATCTTGGCAACACGCTGGGCTTTGCACAGCAGAACATGCCAGCCACGAGCCAGTCACCCGGACCAAGGGGAGGTATCGCCAATGGTTGTACCTGGTGGGGAAGGATATGAAGAGGCTATCTTGTTTCACAGCTGCTTAATTTGTTTTGGGAGACGGTCGGATGGATTTATTCTTGGGGGAGGGGCATGTCTTCTCTGCTTTCTCTCCAGCAACGGGCGAGCCTCATGCCATTCAGAAGCTCAGTGTGGACAAGCCCCTGGACATCGAGCTTTGGAGGAGCTGAAAAAGGCCACCAGTGCTTTCAGTCAAGGCTCCTCGTTACTGCCTCCCCACCCATCACTCAGCACCTCCTTACAAACCAGATCACATCTACATTTCGCAAGAAAGACTTTGCTTCTGTGTGGTGCCAGAGCCTGCAAGGAGAGAGAATCACAGCCTGATTGTACATGGTGAGTCTGGAGTCACAACAACTGATCCGTGCCTGCTGGCTGCTCCCCTGGCGAAAGGAGGTTATTTGTAGAAGCACAGGCTAGGAATAGGGAGTGGGGGCGTTCCCAGGACAATTTGGATCTTAGACTACTTGGTAAGAATGAAGCATTAGGTCACTTCCTGGATGCCTGATATGCCCTTCCTTGCACCTGCCTCTGGAATAGGATCTCTGCCCTGTCTGTGGAACAGCCTTCCTCTTCCCATCGGGAACAGCCTGAGTTCCTAGCTTGCGCGCACAAGTGCCTTGTGCACGTGGGCTGTTTTGTTCAGAGCTCTGTTTCATATGAGAGTGGGATTATTCGGGTATATTCAAATCTCATCACTGCACTTAGGTCTGACCTGCAATCATCAGGTCAGCAGCTGAGTCTCCTTGGGAGAAGCGCTAAATGAAATCTCACTCTGAGTGTACAGCAAGTGGTGACATAGGGGACTTGCACGTGGATTGTGATAGTGACATGCAGACTTCTCTCAGGCTAAGGCTGAGGTTTTTTGGGTGTGTTTTCTTCAGCTATAGCTATTGTCCTGGCTGCTTTTCTGGGAGGGAATAAAACCCAGTAAAATCTGGGAAGGTGCTAAGGGCCTGCCCAGTTGCAGGTCCATAATGTATGAGTGTCCAAACCCTTGTGAGAGAAACGGTGTGTGTTTGAGCACTCTTCTGCATCGCACAGCAGTCGTGCAAAAGGAGAGTTCATTTGGGCCACGTGTGCGCTGTGCAGTTTTGCTGGTGTAGCTGCCGTGGCATGTGCGCGTCTGAGAGTCATGTCCCATAGCTGTGGACACCGCTATGCTGCCAGGGCAGGCTGCTGCTAGCTTAGCTAATGTCATTCAAAGAAGCGGTGCAGCTGTACGGGGAGAAAACCCCTTTCTGCTGCCATGTGCTGGCAGTCTGGCTATGGCAGAACTGACTCTCTCAAGCGGCTCAGCCCGTGGAAGGCCATGTAGCCCCAGAGGAGGAGCTTGGGGGTGGGGTGGGTCTTGGGAGAAAACGTGAGGGCAGGGAGGGCTGTCATTGGAGGCCCAAGCCAGCTACTTCGTGGATGGGACAGTCGTGCTTTGCCATGTGTTGGGGTGGGGGGATCCCATGTGCTGTTTGCTGCCCCTCTGCTTAAGGAAATGGGACGTGGGTGGGTTTCTGCAAGTGCACGACACCAAGAAAATGCTCGACTCCACATCAGTGCTTTCTGCCAATGTAGTTGTTTATTATTGCTTCCTTTACTTAATTGCTATGCTGCCCTGCCCGGCAAGGGCTCAGGGTGGCTTACTGTGAGACAGCAGGAGGATGGAGCGGAGAACAGAGTCAAGGGAACATGCGTTGTTATCCAGGGCAGGGAGCAGGAATTGCTTCCTATCTCCAGCTGGCGGTTAGCCAGCGATGCAGGGAAGCAAGAGGGCTTAGACGCTCGTGCCTGACTAGCAGAGCGGTTCTTCGTCAGCAGTCAACCTTTTTAGTGCTATTTTGCCACAGTAATATCCTGCGCACGGGTCAATTCTGTGGAGCCTCTTCAGTGACGGTTCCTTTCTGTGGCTTGAAGCGCGGTGCCTTTTAATTGTGGCGTGTGCCCCGATACTCCTGCACTATGGGACAGGAGCCAGGTTTCTGTGCTCCATTCCTACGATCTCTTCTCCTGCTCTTGTCCTTTCTCGTCTCTCCCGCGACTCTCCAACCCCTTCTGTTTTCTTGAAACTTGCAGCGAGCAGGATCGTGGCTGGAGCAGGGGCCTCTGCGCTGCTCCTTTCAGGCAGCTTTTCTTTATGAAATGAATTGGAAGACTTCTTGACTTGTAAATCAGATGCATCCCATCCAATCCTTTGCAGCTGGTGTAATGCAAGCCAAAGCCATTCGCGGCGAGTGGATGGCGCTTTAGGGTGGTGTAATGCAAGCCAAAGCCATTCGCGGCGAGTGGATGGCACTTAAGGGATTAGTCTGGCCTGCCAAGAACGTGTATTAACCCAGCCCGCAGCCATGTATCTTATTGGGTCCTGGAGTTTTCCCTGTGGAAGCTTGGTTGTAGTTTTTTTTATCTTCATTAATAGTAAACCCTTCCAATAAAGTCCTTGGCACTCAGGTGGATCTGAAGTTCCCAAGAGCACAGATGTATTCAAAGCTCTGAAGCCTCAACGGTCCCCCCGTCCTGCCAGAAAGAGAGCGTTGGAGCTTATTTCACGTGAGCTGGTTAATCCCCCAGCAGCACGGGTGGAGTGCAGAGAGGTGGCTTAAAAAGGGAAAAAAACAAGTGGGCAGAGGTTGAAGGCTGCTGCCTCTTATTGGGGTGCCAGTACTTCTGCACAGATCTGGATCGTCCCACCATCGTCCACTCGAGGCTTTCTGGCAGGAATACTCATGGCTCGGGCCTAGGCACGCAGTAGGAGACCGCCCGTGTCGGCTATTCCTGCCTTTCCTCATGTCCCTTGATCGCCGCAGCCAGGCAGCCTAGACGTGCTGCCTGTTTGCTCAGTGCTTTCAAGGGAGCGACGGTCCGCTCGTAACAGAGGAAGTGGGAAGAAGCTTCTTCCCGTACAGATACTGCTAATAATGTGTTGTTCAACCTCCTTAATTGCCTGCTGCCAGCTGCTTGTAATGGATTAACCCCCGAGGACTGGTGCGATGATGGGACATGTCATAGATGCTTTTGAGGCCCCTGAGCTGTCAGAGGTGGGGTGGGGGTCCCGTTTTAAAGGACTTAAAAAGGACATTTACACTTGCATAACCAGCTTTTATGCCGGTGTAATCAAGAGCAGGACAGATCCTCCCTGGGTGGAACATACTCATGGTCCCGCTGATTGCTGCAGCCAGGCAGCCTAGACGTGCTGCCTGTTTGCTCAGTGCTTTCAAGGGAGCGAAGGTCAGCTCTTAACAGAGCAAGTAGGAGGAAGCTTCTTCCTGTACGGATATTGCTAATAATGCGTTGTTCAACCTCCTCGATTGCCTGCTGCCGGCTGCTCGTAATGGATTAACCCTCGAGGATTGGTGCGATGATGGGACATGTTGTCATAAATGCTTTTGAGGCCCCTGAGCTTTCAGAGGTGAGGTGGGGGTCCTGCTTAAAAGGACTTAAAAGGGACATTTACACTTGCATAACCAGCTTTTATGCCGGTGTAATCAAGAGCAGGACAGATCCTCCCTGGGTGGAACATACTGACGCGGGGTGCAGACTTACCACAGAAAATACCAGGGGTAAAACTGCACTGGTGCAAGTGTCATCTGTTCTTTTCACGGTGCATTTGGCTAGGGGCAGATCTCGTGCGGATCAGCAGTTAAACGTGTTGGTACCAGGTGACTGGAGGAGCACCGTGGAGGCTGCCTGTGGGGGAGCACAGGAACCTGAAGGGCATCCCTCACCTGTGATCTCCAAGAGCAGGTAGCAGCACTGAGAGGTGACTGCGTGGCGTACGGCAGTGCCACGTGGAGGTACCCAAGCTGGCTCTGGGAGCAGCCTGGTCTCAAGTGCACGCCAGAGGCCTGTGATGGGTAACAGGAGCCTCAAGTAGGGAGATGTGATTTGCAACCACGTTGTAGATTGCTCGGTGCGTGCGTCTGCAATTGCTACCGTGCGCATTTGGCCTCCCTGTTTGAGATGGGATCAGGCTGCATGCCGAATGGCTAGTGAGATCCTTGCCCTTCTTGTCACTGATGTGAATCCGGCCTACGCGACACAATGGCTAGAAAGCGTTACTATTTGGCGGTGGCCTGTGAGGAATGAGTTTGGGCCTCCATCCAGTTCCTGGAAGATTCCCAGGGACTAAAACCGCGGCTCCACGCGGCAGTCCCTGCTGCGTTGGCTGTCCAGCAGAGCAGGTCAGGGCTGACAGAGCCCTGGCAGGCTTGCATTGCTTCCCCATGCCTGCGCGTCAGGGCTGAGGCACTAATGTACTCCCTAATGGAGCCGATCTGCCAGGCATAGCTTGGAGCACGCTGCCTCGTTATGTTAATGTGAAGGCACGCTTTATTAAAAGCCTTCAGCTTTCAGTCCTTGACTTGACGTTTCCTTTGTGGGCTGCTCTTAGAAAATCGAAGCTCCGGCTTGCAGCGCTGCACAGAGCCTGCCGTGCTCTCAGCTGCAGCCTTCAGGCTCCCAAACGGTGGGTTTTCTTAATGGGAGCTCTTCATTTCTGCTTCCTGCCGTGGTGCCAGCAGTTCATCCATCAGCGTCGGTCCTACGAATTTCCTCAGCCCTGCACCCTTTCCTCCCCTTGACACACAAACCTCCTCCACAGATGTCTCAGTCCTGGCGTAGGGGGCAGGGAAACAGCAAAGACATCAGCTCAGGGTGATTAAAGACTCAGTGGAGCTATCAGTGAGCACATCCCCAAGATAAGGGAAACGATGTGGTGCTGAGCTCCAGACCCTGTTCTTCTGCTTTTCCCACAATTAAGTAGTATTTGAAAGGGATTTTCAGATTTCTGAAGCAACCCTCAGAGTTACGAGCTGTGGTCTTAGAAGCTGAGTCTTTGAGCTGAATGGGAGCAGGAGCGGGGCCCTAAACAGAAAGCACCAGTCTGTCTCCTGGGGCCGGCATAGCCCCATGCCCCACGCTTGCAGGCAGATGTGGACGCTTCCATGGGAAGGACGGCAAAGCTGGGACTGCAGTTTCCATGCCGTGTGTCCGGCACTTTGTGACGTGTTGTTCTAGTCCAATCACTGGTTTTTTTTTAAAGGAAAGAGCAGAAAGCAAACCAAATCTGCAGCTCCTCATTTGTAACCATGACAACTCGCAGCCTGGCTCTCTCGTGGCCCTGCGCTGCGCCGACTGCAGAGTCACTGCGGGAGGGAAGGAGAAGTCCGAGTTGCGTTTGGACGGTTCTACCTTGGCAGGTTACACGTGCGTTTCCCCGCTTCTCGCCCCCTGCAGTCACATCCATCGTCTCCAGGGAGAGCCGTTCGCTCTGCGCTCAACCCTGCTATTCGTGCATTTCCGCGTGTTGGTCTCGTGGCTTCAGAGCAGCCTTCCCACCTCAGCCT